TGGGGCATATACCTCATACGCCGATGGAGTTTGCTGGGAAGGATTCAAAGGACTTTATTATTCACTTAAACGCACGGAGATGAAGCTTCGACCCCGTATCATGAAAAAATAATGGCTTCGTTTTCCTTTGTAATGGTACAGTAACTTTGTGAGAAAATTTACGAACATCGCACGAGGAAAGAAAAAGCAGAATTTTCACTAAGTACAAGTATATGTCGAACGACCTTTCTGAGCGAAATGATTCGCTTCATGGCTATAACTCATCAAGCGCCTTATTTATGAAATGTCATTTTTTACAAATAAATGCCTTCATGGAGAACACAACTCGATCCATTTTTCAATAAGATGTTTATTGAAATAACTATTAGACGGATAACATACAGCGCTCATTGATATTTAACACACGGATTATAACGTCTTCTCGGATAGGACGTAAAACCGTAAGCCCCGTCTCCTGCGGGGTTGGGGTAGGAGACGTTAATTTCCCACGCACGAGATTACTGTGTGGTGGATGTCCTCCCCTGGGGTGGGATGGGTGGAAGAGACACTAATTGTAAAGCGCCTTTGATCATATAAAATGTTAATTGTTATAAATGAATTGTAAAGCGCTATTGAATATAGCAATAGAAATAGCGCTATATAAATGCTGTATTATTATAACTTGCAGATAAAGCTTGTCGCCTCAAAATGTCGAATTAAATTTCAATACGATCCTTTATTCTTGTCACGAGGAATAGATTGTGCTGATCACGGCAGACTACCAGCAATTTCTGATGCCACTAACTTGTATAATCGAATAAGATGCACAATAAAGTTTCAACTATAGCTTTACTTACACGTGAATGTAGCATGACTTATAGAAATTATCCGGCTAGTCTAGAAATATTTTAACTATAGTTACGGAAGTCTGTTATGACTCATTCGTAGGTTGCCTCCAGTGCATCACCATTTTAAGTATTATAGATAAGTTTAAAAGTATTTGTACATACCGAGGAAACTAACATCTTGCCAAAATTTTAGACACGTCTCTAAACTATCTTCAAAATTTGATCGATACAGCGGTCTGCCTATTGTCACATTTTACGTCCACTAATCCCTTCAGCTTAGAGCCATTTTTCCTCTACGAAAATGAGATGTTAGGAGACCTCCTTAAGATCAATCAGGCAATAGAATTCTCAATTTGCAATATTTTCAAAATCTTGGATTAGTTCAACAGTATCTGAGTTATTTACTGAGTAGGCTCGCAGGTTGCCATAATTGAAGACAAGTTTTTTAATTATCTTGATAATATTGTTGATACAGCTGTCTGAAAACTGTCAAATTTCTCCTCAACTGGTCCCTTCATCCTAAAATCACATTTGCCCCCATCTTATAAATGAGCATGGATTTGCAAAACTAAAGTATCATTAGTCTCCCCAGAATCATCTAAAAAGAAGAAAGAGTTTCGACCATGTATTATTTTCAGAGTCCCCTATTAGGTCAAATGAATTTTTAATTTTCTTGAGTAAACTAAAATGTTGCTTAAACTTAGGAAACGTGTCTAAAGTATTTTGAAAACATTGTTGATAAGCTGATCTGCACAGTAGTGGTACCATTCCCTGAATAATTTCTCATCACTTTGTTTGGAATAAAAATATTTGTTCGAAGATTTGATAAATCGTGACAGGAAAAACGATAAGTAAAATGCTGACCATGTAAAGACGAATTCAGATTAAGATTAGAGAAAGTTACAAAATAAACAGAATTTATTTGATATTAAGTTTTATTTCCTTAAAAAAAGATCGCCACAGATCAAAGTTGTCAAAATTTAAACGTTCTGTAATGTCGCTAACTTTTATTCTAGAATTAATGACAAATATTATTTGGCCATCAGTGTTCTGGTTGATTCTATGATTATTTGCTCGTAACTAGGAATTGCAGCGAAATTGCTGATATCTAGATGTGCACGGAATATGTGTTTCTAATTAAGAGAGTCTCTGTATGAGCGGTCCTGTCGATGTTGCTTGAGACACGGATTTCGCTCCTTTCTTGTGTTGTAAGACATTCATGTATCTATTCTAAAACCACAATCCGTTTGATCGGATCTCTTTATTTTTCAGAGTTTTACGGAAATTAAATTTTACTCGAAGGCTTGTAGTGACACTTTTCAAGACGTTAATTTGAGACAACTTTGGAGAACAATTTACAAAAAAATTCGGAACTCAGCAAAAAAAAAAAAACAAAAAAAAAACAAATACCACAGCCATGTATCATACATCCATCGAGGCGACTTTCGCCATTTTGAGGGACTTGTCAACATGAAGCGTGGCAGATATAAATCAAGCAGGTAGATCTAAAACCGTCAAAAATACATACGAAAGAAATTCAAATGAACTTTACTTTCATTGAAATTGTTCGTTAAACTTACCATTCCTACATCCCATGCGACCACTTCTTCCGACAATTTAAACACTACGACTAGTGTTCGAATTCTCCTGGTCGATTCCACCGTAAGAAATAACCTGTGCCACCCAAGCTTCGACTCGAATGTGAAGTACGAGTCAAATAACATAACTGCCTCATCTTCGAGGCAATATCACGCTAGTATTTTGATTTTCTGATCGACAAGAACGGTGACCAGGAAGCGATCGCCATGTTTACCTCATGAACATGACCGCTGACCAGCCGCTGCGTGAAAACAGTATAACGCGGGTGGGGTGGGTGACGGGCTTATCGTCATAAGATATTCGAATACATGCTTAAAAAGCTTTAGCACTCCCAGTCTAAACAGTGGAGGCATGCTTCGTGGTACAGACAACTTTTATTTTATTCTCATAACTTTCTCCTTTAAATTAAAACTGGTATTAATTAACAGAGTTATCAATATATATTTTTAAACGGGGTACCCGTATGACCTTTTTGCTTGTCGTCAGTGGTATAAAGTAAAATGTCTTTTCAAACAGAACGCTTTATTTATGCCCCATTGCACGGAATGAACACTATACTTAGAATGTTTGTTCTAGGTCATTTTTGTTGTTCCCAAGAATGTATGAAAAATGATAGAGATTTGATTCATTCAGCTGACACGTTCTTTTAACTTATGGCGCGTGCAGGTTTTTTTCTATCAATAGAAACACACGCGCGCAACACACCGGAATTGAAAATTCTTCACTCTTGCTCGAACCTTAGAATGAATGTAGGCAACTTTGACTTCTGGCGAGATGAAGTGGATGGTTCAAAGGACCCCCTAAGATTTTTTTCAGGACTATAACTGAGATTTGTTTATAACTATGATAATCGTCATTATTAGCAGACGGTGCTTTTACCCATTGTTGTCATCATCATCTTTATCACGCTGGATGAAGTATAAAGCTGGCACGTTGCCTTACCTAACTACACAGAAAATTGTTCTCTCTTTTGCTCCCCTCGGAGCCTGGAAACTGTTACTATTACGAAGATCAACAAGAAAGCCTTAATAATTACTGAAATTTTTAATTAACAGAATGTAAGAAAAAATCGGTGGGCAGAGTAATTCGCGTATCTTATATTCTGAACCATAGTTTTCAATAAAACAAATACCACCCTATTCAATTTACCTTAGTTGTCTCGTGTTTAAAAGTGGCGTTTCTTGGGACCGTAGATTCTTCTCTGATTCTTCTTGTCTCGGCCAAGACTCACTATCATCAACTTTTTTCTTGTGCTTCTTACGGCATGGGACACATAGAGCTGAGGTAAGCGATTGCAGATTTCTCTGTTAAAGTGAAGCTCGCGCCGATAGCATCCATCAGGAATTGAAAACCGACATGCACTGTTTACATTTTTTACTATTAATCAAATAAGGGGTTTTTTAGTCTGCAAATTTAATTATACTGGTTGATGAGTATCATACAAACTGTTGAAAACTGACAGCAAATAATTGTGAACTGTACGCATAAATAAGTGTATTGCGTTGTCAGGTGATTTGATCTTCCTGACACCATCATGATCAGGATACTGACATGTTACCTTTGCACTTCTCCAAAACTTCCCCAAAGTGTGGCGATGCCTATAGCAAATCCACATTTTTTGTTTATCCTCCTGAGCGAGGTGAAATAGGCCAGTCCTTGCCAAGATTAGCTCATTTTCTCTTAAGACCTCTTTAGACAGGTGACAGCTTATCAAATGATATTTTACTTCATCATTGCATTCAGACAGTCGTACCAAACCACTTAAGCCTCGCGATGAACCAAAGTTTTTTCCATCTTTGCCATTCAAAAAGCAGTCCTGAGACATAATGAACGTCTCGCTAACAAAAGACTTCTTCCTGTACTTGTAATTGTTTCCAACGCGATACAAGTTCGGAAGATCTAAAGGAACTCACTATAACCTTGTATACTCGATATGATTTCGATTTCCGCGCCAAAGGAGAAGCCTACTGTAATTCATGAGTGGTCAGCGGTTATGCTCGTGAGGTAAAGAATGGGTTTGTGACTTTTTCACTAAATTGAAAAGACTCGCGTCACTCCTAGAAAATGGTCTAACGGAATACAAACTCCGAGCAGTCTCTTATTTTACTTAAAGATAGTGAGGTCACGCGTATCCTGTGAGCATGGCATGCCGCTCCACGCTCCCAGAGTTGGGCAAAGACAAGACACGTTACTTCTGATGCGATACAAGAGGTTCAGTGGTTATCTCGATTATCTAAACACATTTATTTGCATGGTAAAGATTTTTTTATAAATCTATGAATTGATGCCAGTCCTATTTGGGACGAAATGTATTTGAAAGAAAAAAGAATACTAAGCAAAACAAAAGTTGCCTGCAACACGAAGCGTGCCTTCGCATTAAGACTGAGGGTCAAATTGCTTATTATGATACTTTAGTGCATATGTACGAATGTTCCCAATAATCTTCTGATAATCTGCCTGCACCCACCCCACAGCCCACCCCTCACCTCTGAGCCGTATTGTTTTCACTCAGCGGCTGGTCAGCGGTCACGTTTATGAGGTAAACATGGCGATCGGTACCTAATCACCGTTCTTGTCGATCAGAAAATCATAATACCAACGTAATATTGCCTTGAAGATAAAGTAGTTAAATTATTTGACTTGTACTTCACATTCGAGTCGAGGCTTGGGTGGCACAGGCTATTTCTTAAGGTTGAATCGACGAGGGGAATTCGAACACTAGTTGTAGTGTTTGAATTGTTGGAAGAAATGGTCGCGTGGGGATGTAGGAATGGTAAGTTTCACGAACAATTTCAAATTTTGCCGCTTGAATTGAAAGTAAAGTTCATTTGAATTGCTTTCGTATGTATTTCTGACCGTTTTAGATCTCGCTGCTTGATTTATATCTACGCTTCATGTAGACAAGTCCCTCAAAATGGCGACCAAACTTGGAGATTGCCGAAAATTAGGTAAGTTCACGGAGTTATAAAGTTTTCGTAAAAGTCGGGCCGCAAAGTTTTTTCCTCTAGTTACCTTTTCTATGGCACCTACTTCCTAGCTATGTTAGTTGGATCAGTTAAGAACGCCTAAAAAATTTACCTTGAATTTGATCGGTTTTGGCGTGTGTGACTTAAGCGAACTTTACCATCAAAAGAAAAAAAAAACGAAATAGGCAAAGCACACGATATAAGACTAATTAACAAAAGCCACAAGAACGAAAAAACTAAACTAAGCAAAACAGGAAAAGCGCGAACACAGAAAATTACATAACAGTGGCGCCTTCACTCTTCTTTGAATTCAAGAAATCTATTTTTGTTAAAATATGGCGGAAGATATTCAATTTTTTTGTTTGCTTTGAAATAACGTTGAACCACATGATATGATTTTGTGTCTTAAGCTTAAGCGATTTAAAAACAATTTCCTCTCATCCTAAGGCTTAGATTTCATTAATTTTAATTTCAGATGAAAGGAAAGAATTGAACAATTTTACGTTACATTTTCGAATGCTTCTTTTTCTATTGTCTATTTCATTTAAAGTCTAAACAAAAACAGTCTTTGTTAAGCTATTCCATTATTTTGAAGCAAATGAAGTGATGAAGAATTCTATCAATGATACGATAAAGAGAGATTCTGTGAAAAGAATATTTCTTTAAAATGCATTTATTAAAGCTTGTCTACGGGAGGACGTGTTTACCGAGTAGGCCATACGTTAAACTTTTGAGAAATCTTTAAACACCATTGTGAGTTGACTAGACATTAATGGTTAGTGTTTTTCAAATACATGACTGTTGAACCGGCTTTTATTAAAACCATAACAATGAATAAATCATGTGAGTCGACCAGGAATTCGAGCGAGAGATTCAGAGTGCATAAGTCAAACTTTGTATCAACATTCAACTCAATGAACACATAACATGTTCTTGTTCTGGTCCTCAATCGCTTTGTCCGTTACGTTGGTATCAGGACTTGGTCGAATAAAAACAGATGATTTATATGCCGTAAACTTTGCGACAGAGATAAAAGGAAGTAAGCTTCTTGGGAGGGTTATCGAGGAAACAGAAGAGGAATCAGAAGATGCTTGCCAGCTGCAATGTGTAGATGAAAGCCGT